GTTACATACCTTTCCTAATTTTAAACCATTTTCTTGCTCTGTTCAAGCCTGTCTCTTGGTCCATGTACATGTTCTGCAAATGCACAATTAAATGTTCTGGAATTTCCACTCAGTGTTATTCATAATTTCTGATGCACACAAATATCTTTGCATTGTCAATAAAATACGGGTAAACATTTTTCTGGTATTCTCTGCTATCAATCAAGATCCATCTAACATTAACAATGACTCATTCTACAGGCTCTTCTGAATACTATTTGAACTTGTGGATGTTCTCCATCATGTACTGTTCTAGCTGGTTTTTAATAATCTTCAGCAATATTTTACTTGCACGTGATACTAACGTGTTGTTGTGATGTATTGCTGAGTCACTTGCAACTCATAGCGACTCTATATACAACAGCTCTGAACCCTGGTCTACCTTGAGCCAATTTCATTTTCTCCAACACCTACCTCCATTCTCCAGTTGCTGAGTCAATCCATCTCATTCAGGGTCTTGCTCTCTTGCACCGTACCTCCACCCTTTCAAGAATGATGTCCTTCTCAAGAACTGGTTCCTTCTGGCAACATGCCCAAAGTATGTGAGATGGAGCTTCAAAATCCTAGTCTCCAAGGAGCAGCCTAGTTTCACCCTCTCTGGAACAGTGTGTTCTCTTAGCAGTCCATGGTACATTTAATACTGTTCTCCAGCACCACAGCTCAAATGTTTCACTGTCCAGTTCTCTGATGCACACCTAGTAATTTTGAAGATCATGCCTGGATCAGGAGCACTTTAGGCTCTAGACTTGTCATCACTGCTCTTCAGTACTCTGGAGAGGTCCACGACAGAAGACTTTTCCACTGCAATTTGTCTTTTGATTTCCTGGCTGTTGGTACCAAGAGTGTTCATTGTACCATACCAATATTGTAATTTCTGCATTCTAATGGATCATCTTACTTGGGAATGGGCACAACTATAGATCTCTCCCAGGTGGTTGGCTGGGTCTCAGTATTCCAAGTTTCTTGACATAGATGAGTGAGCATGTTCAGTATTATTTTTCTGCTGAAACATTCCTCCATGTATTCCATCAATTTCTGAACACTTATTTTTCACCAATGCCTTCAGTGCAACGTGGGACATCTTTCTTCAATACCACTGGCTCATGATCACATGCTACCTCCTGAAATGGCCGAACACTGACTAGTTCTTTTTGGTACACTGATTCTGTGTATTCCTTTCCTCTTCTTTTGATGCTTCCCAAGTCATTCATCATTTTACCTTAAGAATCTTTCAAATTACAATGTGAGGCTTAAATTTTTTTTCTGCAGTTTTTTTGGCTTGAGAAATGCCAACTAGTTCTTCCTGTTTAGTTTTCTAATTCAGTCTTTACACATTTCATTATAATACTTTTACTGTCTCTCCCAGAAACTATTTGAAACACTATTCAGCTTACTTCATCATTTCTTCCTTTCACTTTAACTTCTCAACATCCTAGAGCAAGTTTCAGAGTCCATCTGACATCAATTTAGGTATTTTCTTTTATTCCTGATTTTTAAATTACCACTTGCTTCATTTATCACGACTCATCTAATCCTCATTGATTAGTAATAAATAAGACAAATCTATTTTTAAAATAATCTCAAAATTCAGGTGTGATATAGTAAAGATTTTGACTCATGTGGATTTGATTTTTCTTCAGTTTTAGCTTGTTTTATGAGAATTATGAGGCTCTTCATAAAGCCAGTCTCTTAACCATGTCAACCGAGACTAACTTTTTCCACAATCTTGTCCACAGAAATAGTTATTCTGATTTCAGTGTATTCCAGCTACCAAGGATTATATGTATAACCATCATTTACGTTGTTAAATAGAAAATTAATGCTTATTTTTCAATGCTAATTGATCCATTATATTTTAGGGAGTATGGAACACATTTTAACAAATCTAATGATCTCTTATGAACACTAGCTGAGTGACAGCTTTGAGCTATTATACATACACACACATATGCAGACTTGATTTCATCTGTGAAGGAAACCTGATATTGACTAAGATCCAAATGTCAGTCATTTTTCGCCATTTACAGACTTAGCAAGTCACCTATCTATTCTGAATCTCTACATTTTCATATATAAAATGCCCCACAAAGTGTATAAGATCATGAGTAATAAAGCCTTTGCTAACCAGAATAGGGTCACAAATAGAAGCTTCCGTAAATTAAAGAACTGTAAATCAGTAAGAAGACTGACTGATCTACTCTCTTTAGCCAGGCACATGATTTTCATCTGGACTTTCAGTAAACAGTGATGATTACAGTCATGACAATAACAATAGAACATTCTCTTTGGAGGAGTTATAGACCAAATCAAATGTGGAGTTGGCTTCAAAACAACCACGTCACATTTGTCATTTGATTGTCTATTCTACTGGGACCTTCAGAGAATAAAATTTCAGATAGACATGATTTGATACACAAGTAAAGGTTATCAGAACTATCATTTCCAATAAAAAATGTTTTCAAAGGAATTTTCTTCTGTGGTTTTGAATGAGAGTTCAAACGAGTCTGGAACAGGAGTAGTGGTTGGGAGCATGTCATCAGGGAAATTGTGAGAAACAGCTGTATAAGAACACATATCTGATAGTTGCTAAATTAATTCTGGATGACAGCAATAGAGGTCTCTTCTACTTACATTTTGAGGAAAAAAGAACACAACACTGCACTCAAAAAGGAAATCTATCTTATACCTTAATTATGTTGGAAGGAGAAAAAAGAAAGTGCCACTACTGTATAATATATGATGGCAGGAAGGAAAGAAGGAATAGATATGCAAAAAATTGTACTTACCCTATGAGATATCTGATAATTCTAAAATAATTTTAATCATGTAAGAAGAAATATATGCACATCAACAGCAGAGTAGACACAATGTGGACCTAAAGAAATAGTAAAAATTGGTATAAATTCTCTAAGTGTGAATTCACATGAAATTAAAAAAAAAAAACCACCATTAACAATTATCTAAAATCAATGAAATTTAAAAAAAAGTCAGCAGCATTGCAATCTTGACTCAACTCTACATGGCAGAATAGAACTGGCTTATAGGATTTCCAAGGCTGGCTGCCACATAATCATCTCATGGAGGCTGGTGGGTTCAAACTGCTGACTTTAGGTTTCAAAGTGTTTTAAAAAAAAGATGTTTACCCTTAAATCCATGTATCATTTATTTATAAGGAAGGTAGAGAAAAACAATACTCACTTTGTGATTTGACATACAGAAGAAAAAGGAAGAAGTCACTTTATTATCCTGAAAAGAAATTACCAGTATTTATTGAATTTTAGTGTTTGGTGGAACTCCCTGATTAAAACAAGCTTGGAAGCAGGAGTGGTGCCCACTTCCGAAATAATTTGCCTCTGGAAACTCTATGAACTTGGAGAAATGATGAAAGTTATACAGGTGTTCAAGTCTTTTGTTCACAGGGTTCCTATGAGTCCCTACGACTCAACGGCCCTTAACAACAACAACACTGAATTTTAAGATCCTTTTCATAATTATAATGAAGGAGGGGGGAAACTACTACAGTTTTCTTTGAAGCACCAGAAATTGCTTCTTTTTTCATTTTTAAAATATGTTGTGAAGTGCCATTCAAATTTCCACTCATAACCACACAAAGTGACAGAAGAAAACTACCCATTGAGTTGTAATTTTTATGGGAACAGAGTGCCAGGTCTTTTCTCCCAAGTAGCACCTGGACAGGATTGAACTGTCAGCCTTCTGTCAACTTTCTGGTTAGCAGCCAGCAGTAAGCACTGCTCCACCAGCACTACTTTTTAAAAAGAATAAAAAACACCCAAACTCATTACCATCAAGTTAGAAGTGATCTATAGCTAGCCTTCCAGTAGGTTTTGAGAGCCAGTAAATCACATGGGAGGAGACAGACTATCTTTCTCCCACACAGCAGCTAACTGGATTCGAACCTCCAGACAGGAACTACCTCGGGGTTAGTAGCTCCTTACAATGCTGACAAAAACCAGGCAAGACCGAGCTGCTGTATGCATCCTGGTATTTAGAACCAGAATGCTTTTTTTGAGTGGCTATTTCCACCCATGGTTCAGCCTGCCATTTAAAAATGCTTCGTTTATCTATTTCAAGCACCAGCTACTTCCTCTTCAAGTCTATTTATCTCAAACAGGTGTGATGAGCATAAAACTTGTAAACGCGGGAGAGCTTCCTGGATTAAGGCGTTTATAACGAGCCTTATTATTATAGAAAATGCTTTCCAAAACAGTGCCTAAATGAAATTTCAATTACTTTTTTTGCTTGTTTGTTCTTCCAAATGTGTGTTTCTTGAGTTGGTAACAAACAAAGCTGCTCACTCCAAACTCTGAGAAGCTAGCTTCCAAATAATAGCACATAATAAGAAGCCCGAGAAATTACCCTAAGTGGGTACGCTACATCCTGACGGGCTCAATCAAAGCTAATAATGCACAGCTTTGGATTCAGAGGGGAAAAAAATTAAAAGCACAATCCAAGCTTCCAGGGCAACCAGCATTCACTCTCCCTCCTCACCCCTCCTCTCTCTTTAAGCTGGTGTCCTTAGGAACACCAGAGCTGAGGGCGGGGGGACTCCAAACCCAAGCTTTCCTGGTTAGAGCCAATGGAAAGAAACCGCAACAGTGTGAGCAAGCCCATCCCTGCAACACTGAGTGGGAGCAGGTCATCATTACACAATCAGCATCAGCTGGTTATTCAGAAATAGCAACCTGCAGCTCCACACTCCAAGCCGCGACCAGCCAAGTTCCCAGCTCTTGGCTGCTCCCAAGATAAATTCCACATTCCTGTGTACAAAATCATTCTGAAGAGCTTAATCAAACAACTCACTCAACTCTCACGTTCGCTAACGCGGTCACCATTTTTTCCCCGTGTTCCTGAATCCCCTCGATTTCATTATTTCACACTGAATTCTCAACTACTTACACAAAAAAAGAGCCAGAAATCAGAACGCCTTTAACCACACCTACCTGCTCCTTCCACCCAGCGCAGTTCGCTCGCCCACACAGTGGAGCCTCTCTTTAGCCTCTGGCTCTTGGCGTCCCAGGAAGTCTGTTCCTGGCGAGAAGCCGCAGAGGTTTCTGGGAGAGTAGTCAGCTTCTCCCAAAGCTTTACGCAGGAATGCGCCGAAAGACTACAACTCCCAGAATCCTCCGGGCTGTCCTCGCAGAGAACATCCTACAATTGCCTACCTCTGCGAGCGTCTCTGCTCCACTGTTTTTTTGCAGGTTTTGAGATAGTTGTTAAAAAAGACAAAACAACACTGAAAGTAATTTTGATTTGAGGACCTAAGGGAATATCTTCTATTGGGAGTGATTTTTCCGTAAGTAGCTTTTTTTTAAAAAAACACTTTATTAAATCTGGATTATTTTCCCACAAAATATTTTGCAAACACATAAAGTGTGTAGTTGCCCAAATATCAGCTGTGTAGGTTTGTATGGATGGGCGTCATAAAGTTGTGTGAGTAACTCGGCTAACGTTTGTCTGAGGTTATCAGTTAAATGGAAAAAATAACTTTAGAGATAATAGTTTGTTTTTGAGAATCAAGGAACTAAAAAGAGCTTTTCATACTTTCCACGGGCCTCTTACTTCAGAGGTCATATCATAGGAATGTCTGCTGTCAAGGACCACTTCTGTTATACCAAGGAGCAATGGTGTCAGTTTAAAATCTATGGCGTCTCTGTTTCAGGCCATGGTCTTTTCAATCACTTGCTATTATGTCTCAAAGTTGGACAGTGAAGAAGATGAAAGAAGAACAATCTATGCTTTTCAGTTGTGATATTGGAAGAGTGTACTGAATGTTGTTGTTATGTGCTGTCTAGTTGCCTGCGACTTATAGCGAACTTATGTACAACAATCCTAAAACCTATCTTGTGCCAGTCTTACTGTCTGGTACACCTACTCCCCATTTACTCTAGTCTCTGAATCAATCCATTTTATCGAGAATCTTCTGCTCTTGCACTGTTCCTCTACTCTCCCAAGCATGATGTCCTTCTCCAAGGTCTGGTCCCTCCTTGCAACATGTCCAAAGTATGTCAGACAAAGCTTCAGAATCCTTGTCTCCAAGGAGCAACCTGGTCTCACCCTCTGTAGGACCACCCTGATTGTTCTCCCAGCAGTCTATGGTATATTCAATCATTTTCTCCAGTACTACAGCTCATAGGCATCAATTCTCCTATCATCCCTGGTCATTGTCCAGCTTTCTGATGCATAGCAAGTAATTGCAAAGACTATGGCCTGGATCAGGGGCACCATAGTCTCTAGACTGCCATCGTTGCTCTTCAGTACTTTGGAGAGGTCTCTGACAGCAGACTTTGCCAATGCAATTTGTCTTTTAATTTCCTGGCTGCCTATACCAAATATGTTGATTGTGGAGCCAAGCAAATGAAAGCTGTTAACAATCCAAATCTCTTCACCATTTATCATGATACTTGCAATCGACCTAATGGTGAGAATCTTTGTTTTCTTTTTTTTTTAATTTTTTATTGTTTGTGTGTGTGTGTGTGTGTGTGTGTGTGTGTGTACCGTCAAATAGGATCTGACTGGTACAGGAGGAGATTGTCCCTCCTTTCCCGGCAGAGCATCTGGTGGATTTGAACTGTCCGCCTCTGGGATTGCAGTGCAGCTTCTTGCCACTAGGACACCAGAGCTCCCCTGAATCTTTGTTTTCTTGATGTTGACTGAATATTTACTGCCAGAAGAATGAACTGATATATCTTAGAGAAAGTACAACCAGACTGCACCTCGGAGGCAAGGATGACAGAGCTTCGTCTTACATATATTGGGCATGTTGTTTAGGAGGGACTGTTCCTTGGAAAGGGACATCAGTGTGGACACAGCCCAGAAGAGGAAGACCCTCAGAGAGGTAGATTGATACAATGACTGCACCTATGGGCTTAAGGATGTCAGAGATGATGAGACTGGCACAGGATAGAATAAGGTTTAGATCTGTTATTTATAGGGTTGCTAGGAGTTGTACTCAGCAACATTACAGGGAGCTTTGGTAGCCTAGTGGATTAGGAGTGATGCTGTCACCCAACAGGCAAATGGTTCAAATCCACCAGATGCTCCAAGAAAATATGACTGATCTCCCATGTAATCTTTTGTTGTTGTTATGTGTCGTCGACTACAACTCATAACATCTCTATGCACAATAGCTCTGAACCTTACTCTATCCTGAGCCAATCTTACTGTCTCTGACACACCCTTATTATCCCAATTATTGTGTCCGTCCATCTTATCGAGGGTCTTCCTCTACTCTGCTGTCCCTCGACCCTTCCAAACATGATATCCTTTTTCAGAGACTGGTCCCTCCTAGCTACATACTCAAAGTATGTTAGATGATGTCTCAAAATTCTTGCCTCCAAGGAGCAGCCTGGTTTCACCCTCTCTAGGACGGACCTGTTAGTTTTCTTGGCAGTCCATGTTAAATACTGTTCTTCAGCACCAAAACTCAAAGGTATCAATTCTTCTCTCATCCTTGGTCATTGCCCAGCTTTCTGACACATAGTAATTGTGAAGACCATGGCCTGGATCAGGTGCACCTGTCTCTACACTGATATCCTTGCCCTTGAGCATTCTGGAGAGGTATCTGACAGCAGATTTTCCTAATGCAATTCTTCTTTTGATATACTGACTACTGGTGTCAAGAATGTTGATTTTGGAACCAAGCAAGCTAAAATTGTTAACAACCTCAATCTCTTCTCCATCAATCATGATGCTGCCAATTGGCCCAGTGGTAAAAATCTTCATTTTCTTGATATTGAGCTTCAATCCATTTTGCAAACTACAGTCCTTGACCCTCTGTAGCAAATGTTTTAGGCTCTCCTCAGTTTCAGCTAGTCATCTCCATAATGCAGGTTGTTGAGTCTTCCTCCTGAAAACCTGCTGGAAAATCACTTCCATCTCAATGACATTGAGATTATTTCAGAATGAGTTCTGGTGCTATAGTCTGTATAACTCTGGTGACAAAGTCTATAGGCAGTTGTGCTGCTAACCCAAAGTTATGACCTCTGACAACTGGAATCCACAGTTTCCTATTCTATGATTTATAGCCTCAGAAAACCCTGGAGAGAACTGTGAGTCAGTTTAAGAAGGCAATAAATTTGAAGTTTTTGAGATTATTTCAGAAGTGGATAGTCAGACCTACATCCTAGACTTTCCTAATCTGGAAACTGCTGAAAATGGGAGCTTGTGTGGAGTCAGACCCTCTTCTGAGGTGTGGGGTATGGGGGCTGTCATTTCCCTTGTGAGTGTTTGGTGGCATAGCCTCTAGCATCAGAGTAATACACAAGCAAGCTGACAGTTAAGTGGTGAACTAATCGGCCCTTAAACATCCTATTATGGCAGCTTAACATTATCTGATATGTGCCAGAGGACAAGCCCCTCAAGTTGGAAACCATTCAAAATACAGCTAGGGAAGCCTCCTCGGAGAAGAGTGTACCTTAATGACGTGGATAGAGTAAAATTTCAGCCACTGATATAGTAGAACTCTAAAGTGGAACATGGAAGGTATGAAGTCATGAGATCAGGGAAACTGGAAGTTCTTGAAATGAAATGGAACACATAAAAACTGATATCCTGGGCAGAAAAATCAAAAGACAGATTGCATTGGGAAAATCTGATGTCAGGGACCTCTCCAGGATACTAAAAAGGAACAATGTCAGTCTAGAGTCTAAGGTGCTCCTGATCCAGGCCAAGGTCTTCGCAATTACTTGCTATGTATCAGAGGTCTGGACAGTGACTAAGGATGATAGAAGAATTGATGTCTTTGAGTTGTGGTGCTGGAGAAAAGTATTGAACATTCCATGGACTGCTAAGAGAACAAATAGAGAGGGTGAAACCAGACTGCTCCTTAGAGGCAAGGATTCTGAAGCTCCATCTCACATACTTTGGGCATATTGTCAGGAGGGACCAGAGAGAGGTTGGACAGGGACATCATGCTTAGGAGGGTGGAGGGACAGTGGAAGAAAGGAAGGCCCTCGATGAGACGGACTGAATTAGTGACTGAGGAAATGGGGGTATGTGTGTCAAAGACAGTAAGGGTGGCACAGGATAGAGCAGGGTTTAGGGATGTTGTACATAGAGTATGAGTTGCAAGTGACTCAACAGCTCATAACAACAAAAATGACATAGGAGTTCAAACACACCAATTGTTCTATGGGAAAAGAGACCAGGCAACCTGCTACTATAAAGGTCTCAAGCTAGGAAACCTCAGAGGGTGGCAGGCATGCCATGTCCTACAGGGCATGAGTTGAAATCAATTTACCAGCACACAATAAACGTCTCTCATCATTTACAACCAGGAGAAGATGGAAATAGATGAATGGAACCTTCTAAGAATCAAATCCCTTTGCACATCCAAAAACTTCTCCAACAGGGTAAAAATGGAAGCCACAGACTGGGAAAAAGTACTTGGGAATGACATGTTAGATAAGGGACTTATATCTAGAATTTATAAAATACTTAAGCACCACAAGATAAAGGTAAATAATCCAATCGAAAAAATGGCACAGGATATGAACAGACTTCACCAAAGAAGACATTTAGATGGCCACCAAGCACATGAAGAAATGTTCAAAATCCCTATCTCTAAGAGAGATGCAAATCAAAATAACTATATCATCTCACCCCAGTCAGAAGAGCAAAATTTAACAGAGTAGCAAGCAACAAATGCTGGCGAGGTTGTGGAGAGACTGGAACCCTTATTCACTGTTGGTGGAAGTGTAAAATGGTGCAACCACTGTGGAAGGCAGTATGGCGCTTTCTTAAAAAGTTGCAAATAGAGATACCATTTGACCCAGCAATTCCACTACTGAGTATGTACCCCAAAGAGACCATAACTGACATCCAAGCAGATATATGCACACCCATGTCTGTTGCGGTTTTGTTCACAATAGGAAGGAGTTGGAAAAAACCTAAGTGCCCATCAACAAATGAATGGATAGAGAAGCTGTTGTATATTCACACAATGGAGTACTATGCTGCCTTGAGAAACAAGGAACTCATGCAATATTATTCAAAATGGGTGACCCTGAAGGACATTATGCAGGACATTATGCCAAGTGTTATGCTAAGTGATGTATCTCAGTCACAAAAGGACATATACT